TAAAGAACAAGGGTGAACAGAAAATGACAAAGCAAAAACAAGAAGTGAAATAGTCAGAGCTACTAAACACAAAAGCAGGCATTCTGCCCAGATGGGTAAGACGATTTCAGATTATCCCTTATCTTTTTCTGGTGATCACTCGAATACCTGATTACAGAACAAGCATTAGAAAATCAGTAAGAGTAGAGGCAGTATTCTGGATTGTCAGTTCTACAGAGAGGGAATATAGTTCTTCAGTCATCACAGTGGGAGTCTCAATGCCTCAAATGAGGATAGGAGAGAAGTAATTCAGAAAAATGAGGGCAGAGAGGGAGTTAGGGAAAGTCCTCATTAGAGCAAAGACTCCAAGGTTAGTTTACAGATCCAGAAAGAACGGAAGATGGGCACAAAAAACATCCACCTGGGAAGAAAAAAATTCCAGTGCTTTAGGAGGGCAAATAAAAAAAAAAATAATAATTGAGGTTCTTGAGTAAGCAAAGGCTTTCTGTGGTGCCGTGAGTCAATTATCTAATTTTCAGTAACCATGATGGACCAGACTTCCAAGATTAAAGAAGCAAAGTCTCATGGGGCACAGCAAGAGCTGCGAGATTGTTTTGCTCCTCTCCTCACTTTCTTGCACCTTTGTCCACGTTGAAAAAATAAAAAGGGACACATGTTATAAGAAAAGTAATTAAAATGTTCTTTCAAGAGACAGTAGCATGTAAAACATTTCCCAGTGAGAAGCACGATGAAGTCATTGAAATTTTTTATGCCATCGCATTGAAAAGTAGCTAAAATGCAACAACGGAGCTGTTGTTTCACCTAAAGAAATGTCGAACAGTGGGAGTTTTTTTCTGGATTATTTTAGTTGAGTGTGCACATCCATGTCACACCATCACTTCTGACTTTAAAACAGCTGCAGAAGGCTCCTGCTGTGGCCTTTGCTGTTAGCTGAAGCTCTGATCTTCCTGTCTTGATACAAGTCATCAAGTCACATTTCCTGCTGGAAGTAAAGTGGCAGTCCCTAGGGCCTATGCAGCTGCCCAATTTGTATCAGAGAGATTCTGAACCAAACATGACTGCTTTTAAAAACAGCTCTAAAAATTTGCTGTACAAACCCCAAATTCTATATAGAGTTGTCTACCTTGCCACTTCCTGCTTTCCAGGCAGGTGCATTTTGAAACAATTAAAAGAAATATAGAGACTTCGAGGTCTGTGCAAAAATGCTAAAGGTTGGAAAAACATATGGGTAAACTCACTGACATCAAACCAAATTGTGCCTATAACATAAGACTGGGAAGAGAGATCATAGAAAAAGGCTTCAAGAGTATCAGTTATTCTATGGTTAGTACTTAGATGGTATGGATGCTACGGGAACACTATTAAGAGCATTTACAAAACAACAAAAGCTGCAGGTTATGACACAAAAATATTTTGGATCAGAAGGGAGAGAGAAGAGAAAGAGAGAAATTGTTCTGGGCAAGTGCTTTGCCTGCCTGTTGCCAAACAAGGACAGCTATTGGGTCATTGCTAAAGATGCTGGAAAACAGAAATGCAGGCTACCATCTTCTAAGTCCTGTACTTCTACAATGCTTAATGTGTTAAGAATCAGGTCAACAAAGAGTGTTCCCAACTGTTGTGATTATGATAAATAACAATTTGGAGACTAACATACGGCATCCCACTGAATAACCACAGTAGTGAAATTATATCCTTAAAGGAAGTTGTAAGTTACAAGACAGTCAAGACTCCTTAACCATCAAACCTAGTGAAAAACAGTTTCTCTCGTATGCAAGTCTGTCATAAAGAATATCAAAACCAAAGGAAAGCTGCAAAACACAGTGCTCTACTTAAAAACCAAGAATCACAGAATCCTACAGAATTATTTATCTGGTTCTCCACCCCCCCTGAATAATAAGCAAATCAACTTAAGACTATGTTAAATTGTGTGTTAGAAGGGCTCTCAGCGAGGTTCCACTTCCAAAATTAATTGAGAGCACGTTATAATTAGCAAAGGTATGTGACAGTTTTATACCCCTTTATGATACATGATTAAAGCCAGGCAACCCAGCTCACCCTTAAGTTCTGCATGCCGTCAAAACAGATGTGACAAGGACTGCAATCTACTGCCAGACAGACTGTGAGAAAGCATAGACAGATAACATTTTGGCCATCAAAGAGGTAAGACTACAAATCTAATTAAACCTCAAAAACCCTCTGAGAAGCAGGTAAACGACATTTTATATGAAGTTTTATTAAGCATCTTGTGCATGAGCCTCAGTATTCCAGCCCCAAACCGAGGATGAAAGCAAGCTCCTACCTTCCCCTCATGGGTGCAAAAGGAAGCAATGTTTACAGGCTAAAGATTAACAGCTCAGAGCTTCAGCAGAAGGATGCAGAACACAAATGACTGTAGAAATTGCTATTGTAATGCCACTGTGATGGTCTATGAGACTGCTGATTTTTCCCACGCAACACACACACCTCCTACCTGTCTGCAACAAAAAAATACAGAGTGTTGGTTTATCATAAAAAGACAGATCTAAGCTCATCTTCCACACAAGTTCTGCCTCTTACACTTGCACATTTTTGTCCACTGAGCACTCAAAAGGTCAATTAGAGGCTCAATTCTTTACCGTTAACTAGGGACAAACTGAGTAGATTAGGAAAGCTGAGTACTGGCCAAGGCTCTTGAGCTCAGAGTAGAAGGAACAAAGGTGATGGAAATAAATCTTAAGGAACAATGAGAACTTTAGGATTTAAAAACACAAGGTTATTTTGAATAAATACTCCACGGCTGGTTGCATAAGCATAAACAAGCAGCAGGTCAACTTTGTTTAAGTACATCCAGGCCACCATTTTTCATTTATCTACAGTTTTTTGGCTAAAAATCAGTTTAAGATTAGACTAACTAGACTAGGATTAAGCCTAAGGTTTAGACTGAATCTTAATCCTTCTTTATTCATAGCATCCTTTTGCATATGGCACCTTTCCTTCTGTTTCCAGCCTGCTTCCTTATTGCTTCTCCTGCAGTGCTTCAGAACCCTCCTTCCCAGAGGTTCAGTAATTCCAGTTTTCCTGATACTCTCCTTCCACTATTCCCAATGCTTTGCTCCTGCTGTGCTTCAGTCCCCAGGTCCCCTGGGAAAAATACTTTTCTTGTTATTCCCCTGTCCATTCATTAGCCCCATTCTACAGGAGGTGCTGTTGAAAGGCTGAGCTGGCTTCCCTTCAGGAATCTCATGTTCTCCTTAGCACAATCTTTTGGAGAAGGTGTAAGCTCTCTATTTCCCACATCACCTCTTATATGCAGATAGAGAGAGCAACAGTTGTGAAGGTACTAGGCTGTACAAAAACATGCTTGGCTTACCACTTCTTTTTTCTGCAGTGGCATTACCTCGTTTTATCTTTTGCAGCTCAGACTTAAGCAAGCCTGTATTTACATGCACACAAACTGATACCTATACACAATATTGAATCCGTACACACTGCTGAGCTGCCAGGTGAGTCATGTTACTGTATGTGAGTGAATGTGCACGTGCACATGTGCAAAGCCCCTAAAAGACAAACAGCGTGCCAACAACTCACTCATGAATCATGCCTGATTTTTCTTAATTAAAATAACAGAGAAAGGGGAGTCAGTTAAAGAGTGCAACTGTTAAGTGAACACTCTTAGGTCTTGAGAGTTTAGGAGAACCTCAGAATGCTGATTTCATCAAATTTAGCAAAGACAAATCTTCCTCTGTTTCACACAGGTGAACAGATTGAAGGCATGCAAAACACTTGAACTACACACTGGAACTACACTTCCAGTGTTTCCAGCACGAACAAATAAAGTTGGTATTATAAGTTTATAAGCAGGATTGCACATTGCTCTGTGACTACTTTGATGAAGGAGGTGTATGTTATTGTAGCCACTTTACAATCAAGCTTCTCACCACATCAATTTCTTTCAGAGACACTAAACACAGCACAGTTGCCTTCTTCAGGTCCCAAAATCCACATGGGCCCATTGGCAACACAGCAGTGGAAGAAAACATACTTTTGGGGCATATGCACACATACACACACACATAAACATTATCAGTTGATTAAAAATAGTGTACAAGCACCTGTGGTTATGCCTATGTATTTGCCTAAGTACCTCTTCTAAGCAACAGCAGCTGTTGCCAAGTTGTCTTTTTCTCCTCAGTTATGCTTTCTTATTAACATGATTCATGGTAGAAGAACAAATAAAGAGCACTGTTATCACTGGGAGCACATTCCATTGTGGGAGCAGTGATCATCCAAAGAATGGATGAAATGGATGAAATGAGACAGCAGTCTCTTTTCAGAAGGCTACTTTACGTGGATACTAATGAAGTGTACTCTTGATGTTTCAACATCCAGAGACATGTGAAAGCACTTTCCAGCATTCTGCAACTGAACTGCTTCCAATGCTCCTCTTATTTCCAAGAAAATTACAGTTTTCTCTGTAAAGCAGTGGGGTCTTCCATGCAAGTGAAATGGCTTGTGGAACAGCAAGTTTTATTCTAAGCAATGCATAGAAAATATTGAAAACATGGAATCACAGAATCATTAAGGTTGGAAAAGACCGCTAAAATCATCTAGTCCAACCATCAACCAATCACCACCATACCCACTAAACCACATCCCTCAAATGTGTGATGATCTAAACGTTTACTGTGGTATTACTAAACTGCCCAAATAAGAGTTTGGAACACAAAAGCAGGCGTTCTCTGTATGTGTTAGCACCACAGCAGAACATTAAACAGATTTGCATGGGATCTGAATATTTTTTTCTCCCAAAGAAGTTTGCTTAACAATGGGCCCATCAAATCAATAACCTGCAACTCAGCCCTTGAAGAACTGGAATTCCCTTCCACTTAGTGAAGAATCTAGCCTGATCGCTAACGACTGCTGGTCACTGCTATGTCATCACTCCAAAGCTGTGAAACATCCCTGTGACTGTTAATTAGCTCCCATGCAAAGCACTTAAGCCACGGAGCGAGGTTACTCACGTGATGTCTCTGCGCTGATAGCAACCTTGAAGAAGGCAGGCGATCAGGTCGCTGATAAACTCCACATCATCCCTGTGAAGAGCAGCTTCCAGTTCCTAATGAGTTAAAAAAAAAAAAAAAAAAGAGAAAAAAAATCCAGCCATCAAACTAATTCCTCAAAATATACTGTTAGCTTATCAGGACCAAGAAGAGCCAAGCAGCCTAAAGTACATGTACAGGAGGAAGGCATACACTGGGTAAGCCAAACGTCCCTATCATTAAGAACACTGCTACTACCACTTCTTCACTTCAAGAGTTTACATGAGGACCTTGAAAGGGTTTTACTGAACGACACTCTTCAGCTTTCCTCTGGAAACAGAAAAATATGGTTCAGTCAGGTTAAGATGCTATGGTCTAATAAGAAATCCATGATTTCTCCTGTGTTCTACCAATGGGCATGAATCAGCAGTTTCATTCTTCTTTATTTTCTACTCACTACGACTAGTGAGTTCATTTCAGTATGGCCCAAATGGCCACTCATAAAGAGGAATTTTAGACAGGAAGGCAGAAAAGGCTGAAAGCTAGCAAGAAAAAAATGCCTCAAAGAAAATAATCAAAATGCCTGTTTTTAATTTATTTCTCTTCACTTTTTTCAAGAAGGTAGAAAGAAGGAATGGAGGGATGTCCAACCTCATGACCCCACCCTCAACCCCTGACAGAGCAGTGGAGAGTATTACAGCCTATTTCAGCACAGTAGAGGTTGCATAAAGGTGTGCTGCATAAACTCACTGATAAAAAAGATAAAATTCTGAAATGTAGATATTTGGTATTTTCACAGAATCATAGAATCATTAAGGTTGGAAATACCTTTAGGAACATCTAGTCCACCCAATCACCTGGTCTCTTATTGTGTGCAGAACGTGTCCTTTTCACCAAGAGATTTCAAGCTTTACTTTCAAAATGTCACTGAGTTAGCTACAGTTGTGTTCATTTTCCAGAAAATTACTCACAGTATGAAAAATCCAATTACTACTAGAGTGATCATCAGCAGTTAACTTAGCAACAAGATTCGATATTGAAAAATAACGGAGCCATAAGAAGCTATTCTTTTTGAGTTTCAGAGTAAATAATGGATTGAATACAAACTCCTACTTGAATGCTACTCAACAGACACAAACAGCTAAGCTAATGGCCATAGAATAAAGGTTAATGACCAGAGAATAAAGGATAAACACTTTGGCACTTACCCAATAAAGAAGAAAAATGCTTTTTTATTAGACCTCAGTAATGACAGTAATAAAATTATTGATAATAGATTGCAGATTAAATGCTGTTTATAGATTTTTTTTTTAGTGGAAATGTATTAATAGCATATTTTCATTATGAACACTACTCTTATTTACCTTTGGCAGAGTACCCAGAGTGCTTCATAAGCAGAAGCCTGACACCTGCCCTGTGAAGAATGTATTAAACACATCTATTACAGGAAATCTTGAGGCAGAGAAAGAACAAGAGGCAGCCTAAGCCTAACACAGCATCCCTGCTGTGAGATAGAAAATGTCCCAGGAATCTCAGTTCTGGCCTCAAGATGACTATTCTGCCTAATGAGAAGTTGATGCAAAAAGTACAGTTACTGCTTGCCATCACTCAGATGGAGTGATGTTATTGCTATATAAACAGCAATCATGCTATGTAAATAATAATCTCCAAGTGAATTCTCTTGGTAATCAGCTAGTATTTTGGAGGCATTGACTTATTTTGTTTGTGAAGGACTTTGGCAGTCATCTGCCCTCTAACAAAACACACTTGAGAGGAGAAGAATAACTTAAAAAAAAAAAAAAAAAAAAAGAAAAGAAAGAAAGGAAAAAAAAAGGTATGCAATGTGCTAAGACACCTCCAGAAATGTTCAGGTAGGTTATCACAGGGACCTTGTAAAAAATGAAATGTGAGGAGTCAGAGGAAAGGGTAAAACAGTAAGCCTCCAATTGAGGATATCCCTCCCCCTTTCCCTCACCCATAGTACACTTGTGCACTAAAGCCGTCAGTCACCAGCCTGCCTTTGCTGGGATGTGACAGCCTTTTGTAGGAAGGGATATTTAAATTGCTTCCCGTGAGCCCTTTCAGCCTGCTGTTTGACTAGCACTCATTAAACAGCGGCCACAATCCCCTCAGATAGTCTGTATTGCAAGCGATTGTTCTCCAGGCCCAGCAGTGACCTTTACATTTTGGGAGCCTGCAGGTCGCTCGGGGAGATAAGGGACATTCCTGAGATGCAGGGTGAGGATGGGCACACAGGGTGGAGAAGCCTCCCCTGCTTCCCCTTGGTCACTTCTGCAGTAGTTATTTGTCCGGGGTGGCCATTCATCCAGGAAAAAGATAAGGACATGCTGTCCTGTAAAGCCTTGGAGAAAGATACTGATACTGTCTATCAAGCTCTGGTCTACTTCTCTTGGGTTGCTGCTTTTGATAGGGTAGGAGTAGTGAGATGTACTTTCCCAGTGAAAGATCAGAGAATCATAGAAGCACAGAATGGCTTGGGCTGGAAGGGACTTTAAAGCCCATCCAGTTCCAAACTCCTGCCATGGGCAGGACTGCAACCCAGCAGCTCAGGCTGCCCAGGGCCCCATCCCCATCCAGCCTGCCCTGAACACTCCAGGGACGGGGCATCCACAGCTTCTCTGGGCAGCTGTGCCAGGGCCTCACCACCTCCTGAATAAGGAATTTGTTCCTAACACCTAACCTAAACCTCTCCACTTTTGGTCCTATCATTATTAGGCCACGTAAAATGTTCTCTTTCATGTTTGTAAGCTCCGTCATGTACTCTAAGGCCACAGCAAGGTCTCCCTGGAGCTTTCTGAGCCCCATTCAGTTCAGCACCATTTTGTACGTAGGTGCAATGCTTTCTGCCCCAGAGCATCTGAGTGCAGGACTTTCCCCACATGCACAAGGTGCTGTGGGAACTCCAGGGAGCGTGACATGTAGATCTCAACATTTCTGGATCACAGAATTGGGATCCTCTTGGGTTTGCACCTACTGCTTCAGCCCAGGTTGTGGAGGAGGAGGATTTAATCTTGTTTTCCCAGCCATCCCCTCCACCAGCAGCCCACAAAGTCCATAGAATGGTGAATGAAGCAGGGTAAGGGACTCCCAGGAGAAAGAGGCCACCGAGCCTCAGTCCTCATGGCAGGGCCTGCCCCTGGGCGCCCATCCCTGTGCTCCAGACGGGCTCTGGGCTTCCTCCCTGCCACCATCCCTCCCCCCTGCGCCTGCAACCCTTTTGTTTTTCCCTTTTCTCTTTGAGCACTGAGCTGTGAGCGCAGAAATCTGAACCTTGCCAAAATGCTTTGGGGACAGAACAGAAAGGAAACAGAAGAGGCAGCAAATCAGCAGAGGAAGGGGGGGACACATCTCCTCCTCCTCGGGTAGCTGGAGAGAGCAAGAGACAGGAGAAAAGCAGGATTCTCCCCCTCTCCAGCTGGCGTCACACCTCATTAGGGAAAAGCCTGTTTAACGTCTTTCCCTCCCCCAGCCCTGACTAAATCCCCTCTGAGTCATGCAGTGGCTGTTGGGAAAAAGCGGCCGCAGGAGCAAGGGTGACCACCTTGCCTGCAAGGAGCGCTGGCCCACAGCGGGGTGAGCCGGGCTGGGCGAGAGGCCATGAACCCATTCCTCTGCTCTCTGGGAAAGGAGCGGGCAGGGGTGGGCTGTGGCTCCTGACATGCTGGGAGGTGGCCTCACTAGGCCCCTGGCCGTTTCAGAAGACGGCTCCAGTTTTAGAAGATGGGCTCCAAAACTGCAGGGAGGCCCAGCATGTGTAGCAGCATGGAAATCTGCATGCAGATTTCAGCTCTGCACTGGAGCTGAATCTGTGGCTGAATTTGATGGGACATAACCAGTTCAAGCTTGGCTAAGCCTTGTCCAAGTTAGTCACCAGTTTAAAAACCCAATCCCTTCAGATCTATTTCTAGACTGCTGCTGTTATCAGCTTTCTACTGCATTGCTCCCAAGTGACTCAACAGGCTTTTGCTGAGGGGTTTAGGAGATCACCGAAAGCCACCCGTGGGCCGTGCTGAGCCAGCCCTAACTCATGCACAGAAACTGCAACACTACTGCTAAATGGAGCCAGGACTTTTTCTTCACCTCACTGGTACTTGCCAAGAAGTGCAGCAAACGCATCCTCCTTCCAGTGCAAAGCACATCCAGTCCATCCAACCAAAGCAACAAGAGGTCAGCACAACAAAAACCAAGATGCAGCCCCAGACCAAAGGGAACAAGCCTGTTGGGTCTGTCAACATGCTTGGCCCCTGAGATGTACTCAGCTCCCTTCAGATATCATCTTCCTCAGCAACCAGAGCACTTTCTTCAGCCCATCGTCATGCTCTCCCCACATATGATTGCTGCCATTGTATGGAAGTAAAGGTTCAAAACATGAACTCTACTGAGGTTGCCAGTTTGAAGTGGCAAACAGTATTGCACTCTGCCCCTTTAGCACACACAGAGGTGGGTTTAGATGGTTGCAGTAAAGCCATAGAAAGCAGCTACAGTTCCTGGTCCTGATGGAGTCTCCCAGCCACATTATCTTAATTTCAGTGGCTGACTGGAGGCACCAACCGTTATCCAAATATTTGAGAGGAGATTACACTCCCAGCTTCACACACCGCATATCTCACAACTCCCCTGCCCTAACAGACAGCTTGGCAACAATAGAGCTGATATTTATTTCTGCAGTGCTAGGACCACCACTGCTACAGCCTCGTGTTCTCTTCCCAGCTGCCCCAGTCCTGGAGGCAATGGTGTAGGCTGCATGCCTGTGTAGTGCTCCAGGACTTTATGGTTCCCTAGGTGAACAGGGCTCCTGCCTTTTCCAGTCTGTATTTGCATCATGGGAAGAACTGGCAGCTCTCCTCAAAGAAACATCATCATCTTCACCTTGGCTTTTGGGGACCATAAGCTGAGCTGCGATTCTATGGTAGCTTCAGGAGCACAAGGTGAAGGAGTTCAGTGACACTCACTGCTGCAGCAACCTCTGCACAGCACCTGAGATGTCATGGTGAAAAGCACACACCTTTTGGAGGAGAAAATATGCACACTTAGAAAGGGACTGTCATCTCAGGAA